GCAGTTGTTCAAGTGGCATAAACCACTAGAAAGGTTACTGGACAGTATCTTCTAAGATACCCAGAATGTTTGTAACTCTTTATCCACTCTTGAAATTTTCTGCCAAGAAAGTCATCTAAAAAAGCAAAATATTATATGCACAAAGGTGTTTACAGAAAATATTATAAACAACCAATAATAATCGTATAATGGAATTAAATATACCATAAGTTATCCACTCTAAATAGTATGCAGTCATTAAACTTGTAAACATTATGGGAGGAACAGACAATGCCTGAGATATTCGATAAAGTGTAAATAGCAGGACATAAGCTTCTATTTATACCATGTCTATAGATATGAAAAAATGATGCATGCATATAGAAAATCTAGAAAAAACAGGGGAAATAATGGAAGCTAATTAGCTAGGTAAGGAAATATGAAGTCTCTTTTCATTATTTCAATGATCGTTTTGATGTTAGTGCAATTTTTTTTCTGAAAGGAGAGGAAAACAATAAAAGGTTAAAAACATGTCCCTAGAATTCCTCACTAAACTATTATGTATTGAATTCCATGCTCCTGAGATATCAGGTCCCATAAACTTATTACCTTCTGTACAGGATAGAACTTTTCTTTATTCACCCCAAAACCTAGGACAGAAGCTCGTACTCTGCTGCAGGACTGATTGGAAAAGTCTGGGTCTTCGCTTTTCACACCTGTTTTGACTGTAGAGTTTCCAGGCCTATTCTCTTAACCTTCCTTTGTCTTTGCAGAGTGGAAAAGAGGCCTATTTTTTAAGGTCTCTTAGAATAGCTCTTCTCTGGTTTTAGCTGCCTCACTCTGGATCTTCTCCCTCCTTCGTGTCCCCAGAGATGCAGGGAGAGGCCCGTGTGCAGGACTCCAGATTCGGCTACATATCATGGTTTTCTGTTAGGGTAGAATGATTTCTGTTTTGTTTCTAAACAGCCTTCATGATGGTGGCCGGCCAGACGCTGTTGGCTTTTTCAGCTGTGGCAGCGTATTAAGCCGGTGTCTTGAGGGAACAACAGACCTGGACTCTCTCCTCAATGCTCCCACCCCTTTTGGCTTATAACCAATCACTCATAGCTATCATTTAAGGAGTGGAGCTAGGAGTAGGTGTCCCCAAGTGTCGGACTACACTGAAGCCCCTCTCCCGTCTGTGTCGACTCACACAGCCGAGAAGTCCTCCTGTGCCTGACCACCTTCAGGAGGATTTGGGCGCGTCTCTGAGGTTGGGTGTTTGACCAGCACACGCTTTCAAACGGATATCAGCCCCAGCATTTAACATTTGAGCTGTTTTCCATCTCCACGGAGGCCTGTTCATTTCTGTTTCCTTTGGCTAATCCACTTTTCTGTTATGAGAAAGTACTTCCCTTTCTCTGGCTCCTCACATGCCCTGTGACTTTGAATAACCTCTAACAAAGAGCTTTGCCAGAAGCACTTTAACCTCTAAAGGTCTAGCCCCTGGCTTCTCCGTGTACTGTGATGACCTTGGAGATTAGTCAGATATGATCTTCTCTTGCTGGAAACGTGCCCCCCCACCCCTGCTCCACCCCAGGCCCCAGCAAGTTCTGCTTTTCTGCTTCCCGAAGCACTGAACACATTGTCTGCAGTAGAAAGAGCATGGGCTTTGGAGCCAGGCCAGCCTGGGTCTGGATTCTCCATTTATATTTAATGGCCATGATGTGACCTTGGATGATTTACTCAACCTCATTGGTTAGGTAGGAGCTCTCATTGGAAGAATGATGGTGCTAATAATATGACCCCTCAAGTTACCTAGGATCTCGTTACAAGGCAGTTTCTGATTCACTGGGTCTGGTAGGGCCTGATATTCTGCATTTTAACAAGCTCCCAAGTGATGCTGATTCAGGAGACCTCCAGAGGCAGCAATTCTCAGCTTTGACTGTGCACTGAAGTCACCTGGGAATCTTTCAGAATCACCGATGCTTGGACCTCACCACCTACCCCCATCCCCGTTCCAGTTTACCTGGCAGCGGGCTATAGCCTGGGCGCTAGCCTTTTGAAAGATGACTCTAATAAACATAGAAGTTTGAGACCCACTGCTTAATGGGTTGTTAACAGAATTGGATGTGAAAAACCCAGCATGTTGTAGGTACCAAGAAAACAATGGCTTTCTTTTTCTTGGTTCCTTGTCCTGTGCTTCTCACTCCGCTCTTGTCCCCAGTCTTTAAATCAGGCGGGAAAAACAGGACATCTCCTGTCATTGCCTGTGTCTTCCTTTCTTGGGTCTTCTCTAGAGTGCCTGGCCTGGCAGTTCTCACAGCCAGGAGTGGAGAGGCCCAGGGTGATGAGTTGGGCCTGGCGTTTGGGAGTTTTAAAGGCTCCCTGGTGATTCTCATACGTAACCCAGTTAGAGAACTGGTGTGTTTTTATTAGGTAGCAAAGGGTGAAGAACAGGAGTTACATAAAATGCCAAGGAAAGTGCAGGGACTCAGGGTTGGAGTGGACAAGTATGTCCCAGAGTGCGGTGGTCCCTCAAGATTCCATTCCCTATAGTTAAGAGGGACCATCATCCGTGGCCCAGAGCACTAGGTGGCTTCCTCGTGTACGAGAGAGCTGCTGGCTTTTCTCCTTCTCCCTCGTCACACCCAGCCTGCGCCTCCCACCAGGTGTCCCAGGTGCCCAGACCCTGCTGCTCTCCCTTTCGTCGTGCAACAGTGAGTGTGGGTCGGTCCCTTGAAGGAGGAAACGTTGGGATGAGGGAGCCCAGAGAAGGGACCCAGCACCCCCATCTGGGTCAGCCCCAAGGATTATTTTTAGTTCATCAGACGTGGATGAGCACTTGCTATGTGCCTAGCGCTGTGCTGAGCCCTGACACTGAGACCCGAGTCAGACATGATTCCTGCCCTGAAGAAGCTCACAGGGGAGGCAGAGTGTGAACCAATGACGGGGCGTCGTGGCGGAACACTCAGGAAGTGTCCTGGTTGTTGAGGAGGCCCAGAGGAGGAGATGTGCAGGTGGGAGGGAGTCAGAGAAAAGCTCAAGCTGTGTCTTGCAGGAGAAGGAGCGGCTCTCCAGGTGCACGTGGGGTGGGAAGAGAAGGCCAGTGTTGTGAAAAGGAAGAGCGCACGGGGCGCTGGGGTTCCCGTGGTGGAGCTGGAGTGCAGGGCACACAGTGGAGGGAGGGGAGGGTGCACCATGGGGGAGGGGAGGCTGGGGCAGCCCAGGGCCTGTAACTGCCGCAGACTTGGGGGGTTATCCTGTAAGGAGCGGGGCCCCTTAAACAGTTTGCAGGAGAGGCGGCACGCTCAGAGTTGCATTTTTGGTGGATCCTTCTGAGTGTCATGTAAAGATGGATGGAAGGGGAAACTGAGGCAGTGAGGAGATCACGACTGATTTAGGTGAGTCCCGAGGGTCTCATTAAGTCAGCAGGTATCATGCAGATGAAAAGGTTGGAGTGGTGTGAGCCACACCAGGAAGACAGACTTGATGGGATTTAACCAGTGGCCGGGGGTGCGTGAGATGTGGGGTGGGCACCAGGGTGCGGTAGGTAAGGCGCCCAGCACACAAAGTGTAAGGAGTTTCTCACTTAAGGGTGGTGCAAGTGCCAATCTTGAGGGGAAAGGAAGAGTCAAGGATGAGTTCAGGTCTGTGGTGTGTGGTGGGGTGAACTGTTAGACATTTTAACCCGAGCAAGGTCAGGGTTGGTGGGGGGAGGTAGGTGTGGCAGGTGGCTGTGGCATGGCAGTGAGGACAGGGGGACACTGGAGGGCGCCCTTCTCTGCAGCAGCTCTCTCCTTGGCCTCCAAGGGGTCCTGGGGCTGCTCTGACTGACCCAGTTTTACTCAGTGCCCTCTGGCACCTTCACATACTCCACCTTCTGACCTCCCCAAAGCAACCTTTAACCCCTGTTCTCCTCTGTCCCTAGTGATGAGGCTTTCACGGGTGGCACAGGGGTCCCTGCTTTGAGAGCCTTAGGGCAGGTCAGCAGGTTCCACTGGGAAAAATTCCACTGCAGAGGCAGCCAATTTCTCCTGGTGGCTCAAGGTGATTTCGCCCTCCCAGGAGGCCTGGGATGAATTCGGAGGACAGCTGGGGTGCCCTGGAGCAGCACCCCCTGTGAGGAGCGGCAGTGTAAATGCATTTGGTGTAGTCATGATGCACACAGCTTACACACAAGTCTGTAATCATTGAAGCTTCTGATGCAGCAGGTATCTAGGGAATGTCTGGGGTGAACACAGGCTAGGAGCTTCCACAGAGCCCGGGGACAGCGGGTTTGCCAACTACCTGCATGCCCTCAGGCTAGTTCCTCCAATTCCTTCCTTCGTTAAAGAGGGTAACAGTGCCTCTCTCTTAGGGTGAGGGCAGAGATAATGTCTGTTAAGGGCCTAGTTCAGTCCCTGGCAAATACTGCTCAGCAAATGTTTGCTAGGCACCCCGGTTCACAGTCAGGTCCAACGTTTCAGATGTGAGAACTGAAGGGGGTCCCTGGGCCAAGGCTTTGTGGTCAGTGGGTGGAACCCGAGTCTGTTGGGCCCTCTCCAAAGCTTGTGTGCTGCTGGGGCCCCGTGTGCCTCTTGGTGTCGCAGAGTCTTCTCCTCTTGGCTTTTCCTCTGCTTTCCACATCAGCCCACAGTTCGACTCTCCCGGTGCTCATGTGGAGGCCCCCTTCCTGATTCCGGCAACAGTTAGCCGAAGGCTGGGCTGCCCGGCGACTCCCTCCAGGCTCCCTGGCCCGGACGCCAGCTGGGTGCTGACTGTCAGGGTTAGGTCGCCATCTGCACACCCTTCCAGGCTTGGTGAACCGCCTTCCATCTGGATCCGAAGCAAAGAGACCGGGTGCCCTACCTTCCCCGAGGGACCCCCTTGTCTTTTTCTCACCCAGTGGCCCTGCCAACAGTAAGAGCCTTGTGCTGGGGCCCAAGAGGCTGGAGGTAAAATCTCATTCTTGTGGAGCCCCCATCAGGGAAGTAACACCTCAACTTGGGGACCCTGAGGCGCTTCAAATAACCTGTCTCCAAACCTCTCTGTGTCCCCAGGCCATGGAGAGCAAGCTGCTCATCGGGGGCAGGAACATCATGGATCACACCAACGAGCAGCAAAAGATGTTGGAACTGAAGAGGCAGGAGATTGCTGAGCAGGTAGGGCTGGGGCTTCAGGTCCCTGGGGGCACATGGCCTGAAGGTCACGTCCGAGGGGCACTGGGCCGAAAGCCCTCAGAGAGTCAGGATCCCTGGGACAGTGCTGAGACCCTAAGATGTGCAGCCCTGGGTTCCATGGGCCTGCCAGCCCGGGGCCTGTCTCTGGTAGGGGTCCCGCTAGCTGGTGGGTGAGAGAAAGTGGGGCTCTCTACCACGTCGGCCTCCGCTGCACCCGGTAGGAATTCCAGGGCCTCCCACAAGGGCGCGAGTTCTTTGCCAGCTTATGGCTGTCCTGAGTCATTACAACCAGTTTGGTCTCACCAGTCCTCTGTAATACTGCCTGGGGAGACCACATGATGGACACCCCTGTGTGTAGGTGGCACCTCTGGAATGTGCCAGCGGCTAGGGCTGGGGTCTCCGTCCACATGAGCCATGCCTGGCAGAGGCACGGCTGTGTGAGCTGAGAAGAAAGCTCAGGGAGGCTCCACTGAGGACGGGGTGGGAACGACAGGTGGAGGCCATGGGACGCCCCCTCCTCCCTCCTGGCGGCTGCAGCCGCAGCGAAGCCAGGCCCCGTGAGAGGCCGAGCGAGCCCGTCCCTGAGCTCCCTCGGCCTCCCCGCCGTGGGCTGCGGCTCTGAGCCCCTGTGCCCTGCACCGGCCTAGAAACGCCGTGAGCGGGAGATGCAGCAGGAGATGATGCTCCGAGATGAGGAGACCATGGAGCTCCGGGGCACCTACACGTCCCTGCAGCAGGAGGTGGAGGTCAAAACCAAGAAGCTCAAGAAGGTGAGATGCCACAGCAGCATGGGGCGAGGTGTGAGGCCTGGCAGCCTCTGCCCAAGACAGTCACCTGCCCAGGGGTGTGTTTCAGGGCCTCTTCCCACTTGCCTCGAACTGCTGAACCCCAGTCACATTGCCTGGGCTGCTGGGGCGAGGTGCGGGGAAGGCAAGGGTCTGCTGGGGTGGGGCGGAGCCTTTGCTCCTGGACTTCCACCCCGGGCCTGTTAGGCTGGGAATGCCACACCATCACTTCCTGTCTCCAAGGTTGTCGTCCCCGTGGTCCTGGGTAACTTCCCCCTTCACAGCAGTGAGTCATAGTTCAGATGGCCCAGCCTGGAGCAGGGCCAGGGGAATGGCGAGGAAGCCTGAGGAGACTTGAGCCTGGTGGGGCTCCAGGAAGGAAACACGGGACCCTTGAGGAGGGCATATGGAGGGATGAGAATATCTGGCCACCGGAGGCCTGCAAAGTCCATGGCCAGGGAAAGGTGTGTACATGAGGGTCAAGGGCAGGAAGCAGCAAGTTTCAGCCTGGATTCTGGGAAGAACCTGGAGAGCTCTTAGGGGCTGCCCCAGGGTGGGCCAGACAGAGGCCTAGTCACAGTGGCAGTTTCCAGGGACACACCCCTGTGGTTAGGAGTGGGACAGCAGGGTGGGTGCTGCCCCCCACACCCCCACTTTGGAGAGCTGCTGCAGAGGCAGGAGTGGGGTGGGTTCAGCCTCCAAGTCCATCCTCTCCCTGAGCCCTGGACTAGCAGCCCTGTACTTGGGCGCCGATTCTGGCTCTTCTATTACCGAGTCATGTGTAACCTTGAACAAACCTGTGCCTGAGGTTCCTCACCCTATAAAAAGAGGGTGTTGGACCAAAAGGTCCCCAGAGTCTCTTCGAGTTTGAACATTCCACACTGCCGACAGCAGCTGGGAGGGGCGGGGAACAGACCACAGTGGAGGAGGGCCAGAACAGCCTTTGAATAAGCTGTCCTGCCTCGTGGTGGGGTAGCGGGATGGAGATTCAGACCCCGTGCTGGCTTCGTCCCGGGCTGAGCTGGTGGACCTTGAGCCTACGGCCCTCAGGGCCCGAGCTGGGTGGCCTCTGAGCTGCACCTGTCCCCATTCAGCTCTACGCCAAGCTGCAGGCGGTGAAGGCGGAGATCCAGGACCAGCATGACGAGTACATCCGTGTGCGGCAGGACCTGGAGGAGGCACAGAATGAGCAGACTCGGGAACTCAAGCTCAAGTAGGCTCCCTGCTCTTCCCCTCCTTGGTCCTCATGGCTGTCCCTCGGGCCCCAGGCTTCTCCCTAACTCGATCTTCTCCTTCCTGAAGGCCTCATTCCAGCTGCCACCCAGGAGTTCGTGGGCCTTCGGGTTAACTTGTGGAGGGATGAGGGAAAGGGTCTAGAGTTTCTTCTACCTCCTGTTTCCTCCCTCCCTCCTCAGTCTGCTTTTGACCAATGCCCCGAAGTGCATGCTGGGGGCTGGCCTAAAGGAACCCCTGCAGCCCCGAGCCCAGTCTTTGCATTAGAAGAAGTGATTTTCAAGTCTGTTATTTCTATTGGGATCCCCTCCCCCAACTTTGTTTTTTTCCATCTGTGTTCCATCTGCCTCTTTGCTTTTTCCTTCTGATCCTTTGACTTCACATATTCCTGTGGGGCCTCTCTCCCCAATTCCCTGTCTCTGCCTCATTCCCACTCCAGGTACCTAATTATCGAGAACTTCATCCCCCCTGAGGAGAAGAACAAGATCATGAACCGGCTTTTCCTGGACTGTGAGGAGGAGCAGTGGAAGTTCCAGCCACTGGTACCAGCCGGAGTGTAAGTCCCGCACCCAGTCACCTGGGCCAGGGGCCTGTGGGCAGACCAAGGCTTTTATGGACCAGGGAGGGGTCAGGGGAACAGGGTTGGAAGGTGGAGTCTCAGGACCTAACATAGGGGTCTTCATGGAGGAGGGGTGTTCTGATGAAAACAAAGTGTCTCTCTCGGTGGCCTGGGGTGCAGAAAATACCCCACAAGGAGCCTGAAGTGGGGAGGAAGGGCACTGCAGCCCCTTGGCAATCCCAGCGAAGGCCAACATTTGGCCAGTCTAATGAATATTCATTCGTCTGGTGCCAAGAGCAGCAACAATAGTTAGCATTTGCATTACTGTTTGTTGGGCACTGTGGGGGACTCTGCAGACAGAAGGTCAATGAAACACGGTCAGCACCCAAGTCTGGTGGGGAATACAGAGAAGTAAGTAGATCAGGAGATAGAGGTGTGTCTCATCTTTAAAGCCTCACCCAGCTCTGTGATTCAGCATTTCCACCTGTTTCCACATCCCAGCCCTTAGGTACTGTTTGCGTCCGTTGGCTGGGTGTGCAGCTCCCTCTACTGGTGGCCATGAAGAACAAAGCCACACATTCAAACCCAACAGAGTGACTGCCTCCTCACTCAGCTGGACCATGGTCCCTTAATTGAAAATCTGTATATAAAGGCATTTAGGAGGCTGAATACCAATGCACTTTTCCAGAGATTCTTTGCTCTCTCAATCCTAGAAATATTCATGGCAGGATAGGGTAAGAATCTCCCCAAAACTGAGGTGGGAAGCTAGCTGTGTAGGTCTATAGCTTCTCACTGGGCATCAGATGCCTGCTTCATCTACCTTCTGAAAGGCTGGTCCTACCCACGGTGACACCAAGCACGTTTGTAAGTGGCAAGTTCACGAGCAGAAGACTTTTCAATGGTGTCACTTTGGACTTAAAATCCACCTATCCAATCTAAGTGGAGCCCACAGTAATGCAGCATCTACAGCAGAGATTCTCCACCCTGGCTGAAGCTAGAATCACCTGTAAGTTGGGCTTCAAAGAGTCTAATTTAAAGGATTTTCGGAGGATCTCAAGACCAATTTTTTTTTAAAGCTTCCAGGTGAGGCTTCCAGCAAGGAAGCCAAGTAGTTTTAAAATTACTACTCTAGCGCCCTCTGCTGGAAGGAAATGCTAGTGAGGCTTCTGCTTAGAAACGTTCCTTATAGCTTCAAGTTTCCAGGTGGAGGAATTTCTTTTTTTTTTTTTTTTTTTTTTTTTTAAATAAATTTATTTATTTTTTTTTAATTGATTATGCTGTTACAGTTGTTCTATTCCCCCTTCATTCCCCTCCACCCTGCCCCCCCAACCCCACCATTACCCCCCTTTAGTTTATGTCCATGTGTCTCAAGTCCTTTAGGTTCTATATTTCCCATACTATTCTTGCCCCCCCATCTATTTTCTATCTACTGTCTATGCTACTTGTTTTCTGTACCTTCTCCCCCCGTCTCCTCCTCCCACTCCCCTGTTGCTAACCCTACTTGAGATCTTCATTTCTATGTTTCCACTCCTGATCTAGCTGTCCTTTTAGTTTGCTTTCGTTTTAGGTGTGGTTGTTAATAACTGTGAGTTTGTTGTCCTTTCAGTGTTCATGTTTCTTTAACTTCTTTTTCTTCGATAAGTCCCTTTAACATTTCATATAATAAGGGCTTGGTGATGATGAACTCCTTGAATTTGGTCTTATCTGAGAAGCACCTTATCTGTCCTTCCCTTCTAAATGAAAGTTTTGCTGGATAGAGCAATCTTGGTTGTAGGTCTTTAGATTTCATGACTTGGAATATTTCTTTCCAGCCCCTTCTTGCCTGTAAGGTCTCTTTTGAGAAATCTGCTGACAGCCTGATGGGGACTCCTTTGTAGGTGATTGTCCCCTTAGCTCTTGCTGCTTCCAGGATTCTTTCCTTCATTTTAATTTTGGCTAATGTAATTATGATATGCCTTGGTGTGTTTCTTCTTGAGTCCAACTTTTTGGTACTCTCTGGGCTTCTTGGATTTCTTGGAAGTCTATTTCCTTTGCCAGATTGGGGAAATTTTCTTTTATTATTTGTTCAAATAGTTTTTCCACTGGTGGTTGTGTCTTTCCCCCTTCTGGTACCCCTATAATTCGGATATTGGAGCGTTTATAGATGTCCTGGAGGTTCCTAAGCTTCTCCTCATTTTTCTGAATTCTTATTTCTTCATTCCTTTCTGTTTGATGATTTTTTTCTTCTTCCTTCTGGTCCACTCCATTGATTTGAGTCCCAGTTTTTTTTTCATCTCTATGGTTTTCCTGTGGAATTCCATTCATTTCCCTTAATTTAGCCTTCATATGTTTCTCTAATTTGTGGCTATAGTCCACCAGATCTGTGAGGAAGCTGATGACCAGTGTTTTAAACTGTGCGTCTGAGAGATTTGCTATTTCTTCGTCACTTAGATTTATCTCTGGGGCTTTGAGGTCTCCCTGCGACATTTTTGGTCTGTTCTGGCCCTTTAAGTGGGAGGAGCGGCACCTTGGATTCCCAGGTCGCTGGGTTGTGACGCTGTATGTGGGGGCGTGGTCAGAGCGGGAAATGGCGCCGCCGTGGGTCCAAGCGCTCACTCCCTCGCCCGCTCGCAACCAGGCAACCACAGTCAACTCGCTGCCAGCGCCTCCCCACTGACTCCTCCGTAGTCGCTCACCCGGTGGGCCGCTCGGTCGCTCACTAGGTCCAATCCTGGGTTTGGAACCCGTGTGACTGGATTCGCGTGTCTGGATTCCGCACCCGGGTCGATCGAGCCCTCCTTTGTAACTCCTCACCCGACGCTGGTTTCGCCCCTTACCGGTCGGGCCGAAGAATTTGTTGTTAGCGGACTTCCGAAAAGTTCAGTTTTCCGTGTTCTGGTTGTGTTTTCTGATGCTAATATTTAGTTGTCCCTAAACTTGGTTGTGTGAGGAGGCATGGCACATCCACCTTAAACCTCCATCTTGGCGGAAGTCCCGGAATTTCTTTATATTGGTTGGATATGGAGTGAGAGAGAATCTGAGAAGGCATGCGTTTTTAAAGTTTTTATTTTGAAAAATAAGAATTTCGAGAATAATACCAAGCATTTGCATATACCCTTCATGAAAAATTCACTGATTCATATTTTGCCACCTCTTGCTTTAATTCCCCATCCCCCCAACCCCACCATTTGAGATTAAGTTGAAGATGTCCTGGCCCCTTACTTGTGTTTCCTAACAATGGGGACATTATCTTACATAACCACAGTACAATCATCAAATTCTGGAAATGTGTATTGACAGCACTGCTGTATTATGTGGGCAATATTCCGCTTTCGCCAGAACCAGTAATACCCTGCGTGGCGGTGCCTGTCCCCCGCCTCCCTGCCCACCCACTTGAGGTGACGCATTGCATTTATCATGCCTCTTTAGTCCTTTATTCTGGAGCTGAGAAGGGATCATGATTTGAGTTTTGTAGTTTCGTGCTTCAGAGTTTATTCGCTTCTCAAAATGTGGCCCCTGTGGTTTTGGCTTGGCCACCTCAGGCACACAGTCCCAACTTGAAAGCATGACGGGTGCTTTTCCTGAAGCTGAGCTTTCTGCTTGATGATTAAAAATTTCCATTCTTTATTTCTGTTTTTTTTTAAAGCTTACTCTCTTGTAAAGAACTCAAATAACTTTTAAGTTAAATAACCTTTTAAATAACTTCCTTTTTTGCAAAAGTAAAATGGTTTGCGTACGCTGAAAAACTATTCACAGATTTTTTAAAGTAAAACAGCTATCTTAAAATAGCACATTTTAAATAATAGGTAGACTAGACCCAAAATGGACAGATATCTTTGTTCATGGTGTGACGGTTGCCTTCTCCAGCCCCTCCCTTCTGCTTTAGAGGTGAACCTATGCTTGTACGTGCATCTCAGAGAACCCACCGGCAACAGGTCGGACCAGACACGGATGCGCGTCTGCAGTGCCCCTCCCCACCACCCTTCCTCTCCTCTGACCCCGCCACCGTCCTTCTTGCTGGAGGAAGGTAACACAAGGAAAGAGGCAGGGAGTGTTTTCTTTGCCACGGGAAAACCAGAAAACTCTCTTTACTCCTCAAACGCTTCTTACTTTAGCTCCCTCTGTAGTGTTTTCTCCTCTGTGACTCCTTGGGAAGAATCAGGTTTCGGGTATTGTCCGGAGTTGCTCCCAGCCTGCGTTTGCGGGTCTGTGTTCGTGGTACTTCTAGCTGCGTCCCAAAGGACTGTGCCCCCTAAACATTTCATGTTGGACATGTAAAGATAGAAATATATTTATAAGTTTTTAAAAATCATGATTAAGTATATTCACAACTTGACCATGCTATTTTATATGTTTGGACCTGCTCAGAATACACACAGAGCATGTATTCTGTACAGAAAGTATCAAATAGAGCTGGTAAGGGTAAAGGTATTAAGGCAGTTCGGACGTATCAGTGTTCTCTACCACACTCAAACACAAGTGGTATAAACAGTTATTATAGATTTCTCTAAGAAAAACACTCTAATATATAAATTACTCCCAAAAGACTTATGAACAAACACCAGGTGATCAGCTCCATGCAGTTGTGACTCACTGCTGTGCATTTTTTCTTTTTTAATGTGACTGACCATTTGCTGTGACTGACAACCACAATAAATAATATTTATCTCAGAGCTTCTATTAAAATCACCAAAAAAATGCACAAGAAAAAATAGACCTAGGAAGATTTTATATGAAACAAAAATTTTAATTACTTTTTTAAAAGTAGCAGTTGGTAGTTAAAATAAAGTGAAAACAGTTCTCTCACAGTTGGAATTCCCATTGCGGCTCTGACTCAGCTCAGAGAGCCAGAGGGTAGCTTCATGGTGCAAGAGAGGCTGGCCCGGTCTCTGAGATCATTTGCCCCATTCCCTCCTGTCACAGAGGAAGCCTGGGGGTGGGGCCATCGTTGGGTGCGGCTTCCCCCTGTGGGTGGGGGAACCGTGGGGTCAAGCAGCAGAACTAGCTGCCTCCCCGGA